GAACAATATCATTGATATCAAATGCAAGCAGGATTCTGCTGAAAATTCTCCAAAAATGACCAGAACAACACATCAGCAGATAACAACCAGCTGTGCAGGCTGGGTTTAGAAGAGGCTGTGGTACTAAGGATATTATAGCAAATGTTAGAAGGCTCATAGGTGAAAGCAGAGAGTATCAGAGGAATGTCTATCTGTGTTTCATTGACTATGCAAGAGCATTTGTGTGAATCATAACAAACTGTGGCTAACTCTAAGAAAAAAGGGAATCTCAGAAAACTTGATTGTGTTTATGCAAAACCTATACTTGGACCAGGAAGAAGTCTTCAGAAGAGAGCAGGGAAACAAAGCATGGTTCAAAATTGGGAGGTGTGTATGCCAGGGATGTGTCCTGTCTCCATAACTTTTCAATATATATGCAGAACAGATCAGGTAAGAGGCTGGGCTCTATGATAAGGAGTGTGGTATCAGGATAGAAGGAAGACCTATTAAAAATCTGTTTTATGCAGATGACACAACCTTGCTTGTTGAAACTGAGGAGGACCTGAAGAACTTGCAGGGCAAGGACTGCAGCCTTTAATATGGTCTGAAGGGCAACATAAAAAAAAAAAAACAAACACAAAATTCTCATCACTGGGCCAATTGGTAGCATCATGACAGATGGTGAAGAGATTGAGATTGTTAAGAGTTTCAGTTTGTTTGACTCCACAAACAACACTCTTGATACCAGCATCCAGAAAATCAAGAGATAAATTGCTCTGGGAAAGTCTGCTGTCAGGGACTTCTCTAGAGTACTGAAGAGCAATGATGTCAATCTGGAGACTAAGGTGTGCCTGATTTAGGCCACATTTTTCACAATTACTTGCTGTACATCAGAAAGCTGGACAATGACCAGGAATGTGACAAGAAGAATTGATGCCTTTGAGCTATGGTGGTGGTGAAGAGTATTGAATATACCATGGACTGTCAGGAGAACAAACAATTTCTTCCTAGAGAAGATGAAACCAGGCTACTCCTTGTAGGCAAGGATTCTGAAGCTTCATCTGCATACTTGGGCATGTTGCAAGAAAGGATGAGTTCTTCTAGTTCTAGGTGCACATGGAGGGGGCCCGCTGTGGTCAGGCGACATTTGTGTGTGGCAGAGATGGGGGAGCACTATGGGGTGCTGACTGATCAGTAGGCTCAAAGGTGAGGGAGTTTTGATTGGAAAGAGAAGAGGGCTTAGAATGAGCTAAAAGAATTTGAGAAGTACAGCAGTTTTGACAGAGAGGCAGAGAAAGCAGAAAACAAAGAAGGTCTGAACATTTCGACCATTTGCCATTGCATTGATAGAAATTGTCAAAGTCTCTGAGAGTGCTGAAATCAAGAGTCCTATTTTGGGGCTATTGAGATCTATTATTTAACTGATATTGTGGCTATGTTGGGTTCTTCCAATAAGAGAATATTAAGGGAGCAGAGGAGACATGCCTGTAGAGTGTTCCAAGAAGGGTGGGATGTGGGATTGGCTGGCTCACATGATTGGGGAGGGAGATAAGTAGTGGGAATTCTGAGAGAGACAGAGAGAGAGAGAGAGAGAGAGAGGACGTAGGCGTCCTCAATATCAAGAGAGACCGGCCCAGACAGCTAAGGGATCTACCTGGCCTAGCACTAGGAATAAGTCTAAAGAAAACAGGAGACCCAAGAAAGAAGAACCATCCACCACTTACCCCAAATTGGTCTAGTGTTGTTCAGAAGGCCAGCAATGAGAAGAAGCAGAAAGCCCTTTAGAAGGGTATCCTCTCAGTAGTTCAGAGGGGCTGTCAGATAGCCCATGGACGAGTGAAAAGAATTAGAACAATCCAGTATGTCCCAGGTGTCTTTAGGCCAGAAGAGAAGGACAGGTTACATAGAGGAGAGACTGAAGCCAACTTTGCAGAGTTTCCAGAGAATCTCAATATGAAATCAAGGCTGATTTCAGCTCCACATCACATAAACAATAGGAAGTGCAGACTGCTCACTGGCCTCCACTGAGTTTATTAGTGAGCTCATGGGAGATCCCTAGTCTCTGTGGATTAGACTTACAAGGAGCTCACACTTATATCACTTAGAATGACGTTTGAGAGCAAGAAAACAACATATTTTCCTAGCAGCGAGATTGGTCAGTTTAAAAAGGACCCTTGAACTGAGAGGTTCTTGTCCAAACGCCTAGCTAGGTACACTTACCTTGGTCCTGGCATTCCTCAGTCTGCTCCCAATTTTTTTTTTTCAAATAGTATCATGTTTATTAGTGAAAGAAGAGAGAAATTCAAACAGCCAAACTTAATGTAGTAAGAGTAAAATACCTGGTCTCCTCTCACAACTGAGAAGAAACAACAATCTAGGGGTAGAGTGTTAATATTTATGGAGTCTTCTCCTTAATCTTAACTCTACCAGAGTCTTTAAAAAAATTCTACTAGTTTATTTACAAAATTCAAATACATTGTTTAAAAACCAAATTCTTTCAAGTTCCCTCTTCCCCAACCCCATGATTAATACCCCCTGCACATCCTCATCTCTCTGCTTTCATCCTTTCCTACCCCTCTTGGATCCTTGTACTTATTCTATAATAATGCTTTTATACAATATTTTTCCTTGTAGGGCTGAGTTAGTTCACTCAGCATAATTCTCTCCAGTCCCTACCAAGTTAGGTAATAATTTATCAAAATCATTGTTCCTGCATGCTGCATAGTATTCCATTGTGTGAATGTAGCATAATTTCTCAACCCATTTGTTTGTGTTTGGACATTGGGACTGTTTCCATGTTCTAGTGATGCTAAATAATGCTACTATGAACATTGGTATGCAAATCTCCGTGCCTCAGTTCTCATTTTCTCAGGGTATATTCAAGTAGTGGAATAGCTGGGTCATATGGAATTTCTATATTCAGCTTTTTGAGGAAGCACCAAACTGCCTTCCAGAATGGTTGTACAATTTTACAATCTCACCAACAATGTATAAGAGTTCCTTTCTTGCCACATTTTCTCCAACGTTTATTACTTGCTGATCTGTTACTTTGCCACTGTTAATGGAGTGAGATGATACCTCATTGTGGTTTTGATTTTCATCTCTCTTACCACTGGTGATCTTGAGCATTTCTTCATGTGTCTGTTTGCCATTTGAATATCTTCCTTTGTGAAAATTCTTTTTATGTCTTTTTTCTACCAGAGTCTTAAAGCAGATGCCTACCGTCCTCTGACACCATCTAGGCCCAGTCTTTTCCAGGAGATTCATGTTCCTTGTGCATGCCTTTCTCTTTCTCTCTCTCTCTCTCTCTTATTATTAATTTTAATGGAAAATTTACAGATACTTTGGAATTCCATTCATTCATTGTTGCACCTTTTTCCCTGCATGCATGCCTTTCTTATGTGACCCACTGCTTAGAATCTCTCTCAGCCCTTCCTGGGAAGCCAGGGAGAAAGATTCTGGTTGGAACTAAATGTTCCAAGCATTTGAAGGAAAGATTTTATAGTCACCAGATCTAAACTGAGTTTCAAAACCAGCTTTCTTAGTTAATATTGTTACGTGTTGTTGAGTGGGAACTAACTCATAGCTGACTCTCCAGCAGGTTGTCACAGGCAGTAAATTGCATGGGAGGAGATTGCCCATCTTTCTCCTGCAGATCATCTGGCGAATTCAAACCACATACCTTTGGGTGTGCAGTACACCTCCTTAAGCTGGGGCCACCAGAACTCCCTAAAGGTTGCCTCGCCAACTTCACAGCGTGTGGTGTGAATCTGCCAGCTGCTCCACAGGAGAAAGATGGACAATCTCCTCCTGTGTGATTCACTTCCTCTGAAAACCTGCTCAAGGGTCAAGTGTAGGTTGGTTCTGACTTGATGACACACAGCAACAGCTCCTGATTAATAGTTGTTATTAAACACACTATTCAATATCCTCAAGATTTTTCCGTCTGTAAAATGGACCTGAAAGGAGGTTATGCCACCAGGCCGAAGGTGGGTGATTGTCATCTGCGGCCCTCGGCCTGGTCCAAATTGTCTTCCTGTCAAACATTCTTCTAGGTGGTATAGCACTGGTCTGTGCATTGCTGTACAGAGGTAACTCGTGGTTGCTGTGATGCTGAAGACTGTGACAGTGATGTGCCACCAATCGTGGTAATGGGCACCCATGGTGGACAGTGTTGGCTGGAGCTTCCCGACTAAATCAAGCCTGGAAGCAGGAGCAGCATCCACTTCCGAAATGGCTTGTCTCTGGAAACTCTATGTACGGACAGTGCTCAGGCTGTTCGTTCACAGGGTCGCTGTGAGTCATAGATGATTCGACGGCACCAAACAACAACAACAAAAGAGCTCTTGTTTTTAAGGTTAAGAAAGATGATGTGTGCATGCTGCCCAGCACAGCGCCTCTGAAGGGTGAGTGTCCACCTCTTTTACTGGCTGCACAGCTGGCTGACTCCAGCTTTGGGGGCCGTGTGCTGGGGGCTACTTTAACTTGCTCGTTTTCCCAAGCACTGAGCGCATTATCCTGTGTAGGGTCAGGTCCATGTAGGGGTCCGGACAACCATCCAGTGGTCCTGCCTTGGCGAGACACTTCAGGACTCTGTGTCTGGAATTCAGCTGTCCTACTCAATTGGCAAAGTAAAGGACCTTTGGGTTGTGCGCGTGACCTTTGAAACTGTTATCTCATAGTCATAAACCTGGTTTGCTTCACTGGCTATAAAGGCAGCTTATTCTAACACATTCTCCCTGCAGCTGCTCCTCAACCTGTTACAGTGAGTCACTCTGAGCGCTTCAGAAGCCATCATGTCGAGGGACCAGAATGGAACCTGGGAGATGGAGAGCAGTGACAACTTTGATGGCTTCCTGAAGGCCCTGAGTAAGAAGAAAGGGGGGCATTGGGTGGACTGGGGTCTGGACCTTGAGCACAATCATTTTGGAGGTCAACACACCCATGTGCAAAAATACTTATTTTAACTTACTAGCTGTGAGCTATCAGGCAGGTCTCAGAAATCCTCTGACCTTCAAGTTTCTCATCTAAAAGTTGAGAATTATAAAAACTGACACTATGTCTAGAATGATCTTTTCACAGTGCCTAGAAAGTATGCATTAAGTAAGTGAAGAACATACACACAGAAAGAGAGAATAAAGTAAAATTTGAGAACATAATGCACCAATTCTCATGACATGTGACAGTTATCTCTTGCTTACCTGAACTGTCATCTTCTTGTTAACCTTGTTTGTAGTATTGTTGTTGTTGTTATGTGCTATGGAGTGAGAACCAACTCAGCTGACCCTCCAGTGGGTTTCCTGAGACTGTAAATTACACAGATCCTCATTGGTTCCTCATACATGTCTTACCAGTTATTTTTTTATTTTTTATAATAATGGTCTTATGCAGATTTTGTTCTTATAAAACTGAGTTCATTTACTCAGTACAATGCTCTCCAGTCTCTCCCAAGTTTCAAAATCCTAAGAAATTCCGTGTGACCCAGCTATTCTAATACTAGGTTTATACACCAGGGAAATTAGAACTGAGACACAAATAGAGATTTTTGCACGAATGTTCATAGTAGCATTATTCACCATCACAAGAATATGGAAACAGCTCAAATGTTCAACCACAACTGAATGAATTCAGAAATTGTGGTTCAGCACGATGTGATACATTCATATAATGGAATACTATGCAGCACTCACAGGGATGGCTTGGCAATAAATATTTAGAATATTTCCATAGTATCAATAAGCAATAAGAGCTATGACAAGTTTCATCATTTATGAAGTTTGAGACTTTATTCATGTGCCTTAGATGTATTTCTATATTTGGAATAGCTTTATTTTCCTCTGACTTTCAGAATGTTACCTCAGATACTTGGGGAAAGTTGTTGTCGGGTGCCACTGAGTCAGTCAAAACTCATTGCAACTCTATGAACACCAGATCTGAACCTTGCCACTAAAAAAGCAAAAGTCATACCAGATCCCACCCCTAATACGTTGCCTGGAAATGTTCCCATACCATGAAGCACAGGTGGCCTAGTGGTAAAAAGCTGCATTGCAGTCCTGAAGGCACAGGGTTCAAAGCCATCAGTGGCTCTGCAGGACACAATGTGCAATCTCCTCCTGTGAGGCCACCTGACTTTGAAAACCCTCCAGAGGATCAGGTGTGGGTTGGTTCCAACTTGATGGTTAACAACAATAATAATAACAACAGCAACAAAAACGTTGTGGTCAGTAGAATTGAAGTTCCAATGCTAGACATGGATGGGCAAACAGTTTGGAGCATACTTCAGATTTATAACTCACAACAGGATTATTCAGGTGAGGAAATTAAACTAGAGGGGCCAGTGTAGTTGTGACCAGACTCTTGGACTTGCTATAAGACACTGAACAACTCTTTTACCTTCCTGAGAATCAGTTTCCTCATAAGTCAAACAGAATTAATAGCACCAGTCTCCTCTAATACTGTGGATGGTGCTGGATGTAGTTAACATATTTTTAACAATTAAAAACATGTTAATAAGCACTAACGGGGGTGGAGGTGATGTTTTGAGGATATGCTGAACACCCTGCTTTGTGGAATTTAATGAGAGAATAACTATGTCTTTTGTTGCTTCTTGGCATGACTCCTGCAAATGCTTAAATAATAAGTTCTATGGAGAACAAACAGATATGTCCTGGAGAGGGTGCAGCCAGAGTGCTCTCTGGAGGCAAGAATGACAAGGCGTCACCTCACATACTTTGGGTGTGTTGCTAGGAGGGGCTATTCCTCTGAGAAGGGCATGATGCTGTGAAGGGTACAGGGATGGGGAAGGAGAGGAAGACCCTCAACCACATGGATTGACACGGTGACTGCTGTAATGGCTCTTGTGTGTCAGGAATTGTGAAGATGGCACAGGATAGAACAGAGTTCAAATCTTTTGTTCACAGGGTCAATATGAGTCACACTCAACTCAACAGCACCTAACAAAAATAACAAAAACAATGGAGAAAAGTACTGAATATCTCATTATTTAATATTCTGCAGAAGAGAAATGCCAAGAGAACAGATAGGTGTGTCTTAGAGAAAATGCAACCAGGGTGCTCCTCAGGAACAAGGCTGGTGAAACTTCATTTCACATATTTAGGGTATGTGAGTAGAAGCCTGTCCTCAGAAAAGGGCATCATTCCTGGAAAGATAGAGGGTCAGCATAGAAGAGGAAGACTCTCAATAAGACGGTGATTATAAGAGTGGGCTCAAGAATATCAGAGATCAGGAAAATAAAACTGAGAAACAAATGGAGATTTGCACACCAGTGCTCATATTAGTGTTATTCACTATCACAAGAACATGTAAACAGCCCTAATGCCCAAATATAAATGAATGGACTGAGAAACTGTGGTACATTCACACATTCCTCTAGGTCGTATAGCCCTGGTGTGTCCACTTGCCATATAGAGGTAACTTGTGGTTGCTGTGAAGCTGAACACTGTGACACTGATGTGTCAAATGCAAGAATGGTCACCCATGGTGGACAGTGTTTGATGGAGCTCCCCGATTAAAACAAACTTGGAAGCAGGAGTGGCATCCACTTCCGTACATAGCTTGCCTCTGGAAATCCTATGAACCTGAAGAGAGGATGAAAGACACATAAGTGTTGAAGACTTTCCTTCATAGGTCGCTATCGGTCGCCTGCGACTCAATGGCACTTAACAACAACAACAACAATATGCACCACTCGGGGTAATAATTTTGAAAAATACTCCAGAACTTGAAAGTTACTTGAGAGCATTATGCTGAGTGAATTAATTCAGTCTCATAGGACAAATACTGCATAAGATCATTGTAAAATTAGAAGGGTAACTAGTAAATCATGCATGGGAACCCAAGAGAGGAAGGGGTGGGAGCAGTAGGGTGAGAATGTGTAAGGGCAAAATGACAGGGTTGCACAATGTGGTGGCTGGAGGGAGAGGGTAAAGGAAATGGGAATGGTCTGGTCGGGACCTGAAAAGACAGGGTGATGACGGGCATAGTCCAATGGTGATTAATTTTAGAAAACATAATGCATGGGAATGATAGTATGAAACACAATGTGAATGAAGAATAGTGTAAAACACAATGTGTATGAACTTTGTAAGCAAATCTATGTGAAATAATTTTTTTTAAAGAAAAAAGCATAGTGGAGATGTCAAGAATGGCTCAGGATAGGCCAAGGTTCAGACACCTTGCTCATAAGGCCACTATAAATCACAGCTGAACTGTCAGCACTTAATGACAACACGGTGATTTAAGGAGTTCCTGGATGGTACCAATTACTAAGTATACACAGCTGATCTCAGAAGCCAAAGGTAAGTCCGGGCGCAGTAAGGTAAGGTCACAGTCTAGTAAACCCATATGTTCTCAGTGCAATAAACTGTATGAGACCAAAGGGCAGAATTTGCCCACAGACTACACTCAGCAGTCCAAAGAGGCAGGAAAAGAAAAGACGGACTAAAGAAGGGAACTCAGGGACAAAGTGGGAAGGGAAGTGTTACACTGAGGAGATTGCAACCAGCGTCAAGAAAGAAAATGTGTTTGTTCTGTTGAATGCAAAATTAATTTGCTGTGCAAATATCCACAGAAATTACAATTGGCAAGTCAGCTCAATGAGGTGTAGTCCTCCTCTGTACACAGGGCCAACATTAGTAAGAAAGGCTTTAATGGCAGCTGGAATAATGCCTTTGGTGAAAATCTGGTCTTGAATAAGTTTACAGGTCTTTAGGGTGGGATCCTGGAGTAGCTCTCTTTCTAGACTTCAGAGGACAGGCAGACCTCACTCTTTGGAGAGATGGTGAGATTCAGGGCAGCACATCTTCAATGCTTAGAAATCTTTTCTCCAGGCGATTTTTCCTTTCAACTTTCTCATACCCCTGTGTATCTTCAGGGTCTGTGCAGCTTCCACGTTGTGAATATGGCATTTGGTGTCACCCTAAGGAGGCCTTAGAGTGATCATTCCACTTCTCCTTAGTGTTGAATAACAAGTCGCTCACAGCTTCTGTCAAAACCTCCTGTCTCTGTAGCATGCAGGGAGTGGGTTGACATGTTCTTGATTGATAACATTCTAAGGAGTTGTTTTTCTTGAGCATCACTGAGGCGACTGCAATTCACAGTGACTTTATGAACACTGGATCTGAACCCTGTCCTGTCCTGTGTCACTGTGTCATCTTCATCTCTGATATACTTGAGCCTGCTGCTACAGTCACTATGTCAATCTATCTCTCTGAGGGTCTTCCCTTCCTTTGCTGACCTCCCATCTTTCCAAGCAGGATATCTTTTTCCAAGACTGGCTTCTACTAACAGCACACCCAAAGTATGTGAGATGATGGATTGGAACCACGTGCCTTTGGGATTGCAGCACAGTTTCTTGCCATGAGGCCATGAGAGCTCAAATGGCTCAGTTCCAATTCAACAGTACATAACAACAACAACAACAACAACAAAAAGGGAGAGACAGTTAACAAAAAGACAGGGATCCCCCCCGCCAGGCAATAGTAAATTCTTTAAAGAAAATAAAAAGGATGATAAAGTAGAAAGTAGTTATTGGTCAGGGAAAGTTGTCTGAAGCATTGACATTTGAACTGAGGCTTGCATGATAAGAACTGTTGCTTTGGGCACAGGAGACTAGCAAGTGCAAAGGCTTTAGGAAACACTAGAAGGCCAATGTGACTGAGTGTAGTTCCTAGGGAAAGGGGAGAGAGGATGTGAGGGTAGAAATACAGGCCAGGATAAGGCAACACAGGCTTGTATGAAGGGAAGACTTAATCTAGTTTATATGCATTTTTTAAGAATCAAGAATGCTATGGTACAAAGGATGAATTGTATCAAGGAAAATAAGTTAGGACTAGAAGCAGGAAGACTTG